TTAAATTATGATAAATTCATTAAAAATTAGTAATTAAAAGATATTTGACTCAATTTATATGTCTTTTGCAAAATGGATGTGGTCGTTTAGGAGGGAAATGCAATTTTGACAAATTTTCCAATCAGGGTCGTAGCAATTTGTCAAACCGGTTGAATGCTCTTTTCTCGTCTCTCTCATTCACACGTACTCACATTCCCTTCATCTCTATCTCTCCAAACAATGAAAAACGGATGAAATGAATTGGGAGGGGGGAGGAGAGATCCGTGGGGTTGGCAGGGTTTTCAATTAATAAAGTGTAAATAAAAAGCAAGCGAGCGAGCGTTGGATGCGACAGCTGACCCTCCCATTCAATAATGCAGGAAAGTGTTACAATTATGGGAAGTGTACATATGACAATGGCACATCCCTTCAATTCACTTCACTTCACAACTCTCTTCGCCTAATCCGTGCATATCCACCCACCCCCTCAGGCCTTTTCAACGCAAGCGATTTTAATATTTAGATTGGTTACACCTTTTATATGTCGAAAAGGGAAATAATTTGCAACCCCCTCAGGCGCTCATCCACCCCCCAACAAAACGCCGTTTTGTTTGCTTTCCAACACTTGTCTTCTCCTTTGAACCTCATCATCAACAACATCCATAAACACCCTCACAAATATGTAAATTCATCATCAAAGCGCTGACAGATGGACTTTGGTGTTAAATAATCAAAATCGGAATTGATCCATTAATTGAAATCCACTATTAGTTAATTATTATTTTTTTTTTGCTTCCTTCTTCTGATGCGATTAGATGGAACACGGATACAGTTTTAGGCTGATCCCATTTGAAGATGGAAGAGGGGTGAAAGTCATCTTCGGCCATATGGAACGTGTAGTTGCGTAATTGCTACCGCCGCTACGAAAAGAATCCCATAAAAGGGAGAGCGGAGATTTTGTCTGTGCGATTTCGTTCACAAAGATTCGCCCTTTTCTCCTTATTATCATCATCATCATCATCCGCTCACAACACACACGGAATTGGATCAAAGTTCAGCTGCGCATCTTCCGTTTTTTGGGAATGCCCATGCCTCGATGATTAGCTCACCTAATTGAAGACCTAAGGATCACGCGTCGTCGACACGTACCTCAAATTAATTCCCGCGCTTCGCGATTTGAATATTCTCGCGTAGTTTAAGTACACGCATCGTCTCTATATAGTCAATAAGTGTGTATTTGTGTTTGGGAAACCCTGGGAGACTGGGAAAACAAATGAACAATAATAAATGTATTTGGGATTCTCATAGACTGATAGGCCATAGGCGCTGCTGTTCATTATTATTTTTCAGTGCCGATGCGTGTGCTTCGCATACACTACAACCACATTACATACATTCACTCACTCACTCGCACACACTTTAGTCCATTATTTTCTTTTTTTTTCGTTATTTATGTTGCCATACAGGCGATTTACATGCCTTGAATAATTCCTCCGTTTTAATTTCACTCGTTTCATTGTACAGAAGCGAACAGTGTTCTGATGTGCGCTGAAGAGGATGAAGAGGACGAAGGTGGCGGACGGTGTAGATGGAGGCCACAATACGGGCCCATTCAAAACGCACTGCCGGATCACCCATATAATTCCTTCCTTGGCTCTCGACCGACGGAGTCGTTTCGAAAAACAAACGCGTCCTCTTCATAAAGCATAAATTTATAGGCATTACGTCGTGTCGTCGTTTATTTACTACGCTTTTCCATCAGAAATCATCATCCGAGACAGTTCAATAACCAACCGTTTGACACAGGCAAATTGCAACCGAAACCAGTTATTATCATCATCATCATTAAACAGCTTCCACTACCACCTCAAAAGCAAAAACGCAACTAAACCAACAAGAAAAAAAAAAAGGACCCAGAACAAAGCCTCGCGGTACACCTGTACCTAATAAGAACTATCATACTAAAACACAAAATATAATCAAATACTGTTTACAAATTACAAATCAGTTTAATTAATAATCATTCATGTTTCAGTAATTCAACCATAATTTCTTAAAATTACAAAAATCCAGATAAATCTAACAACTATATAATCGATTGTTGTTGGGAAATCAAAATTTCAGTTAAATTATGATCATTAAAAAAAAATTACCGGAAATTCATTTAAAATTAGTAATTAAAAGATATTTGACTCAATTTATATGTCTTTTGTAAAATTGATGTGATCGTTTAGGAGAGAAATGCAATTTTCACAAATTTTCCAATCAGGGAATTTATCAAACCGTTTGAATGCTCTTTTCTCCTCTCTCTTTCTCTCATTCACACACGTACACTCACATTCCCTTCATCTTTATCTCTCCAAACAATGAAAAACGTATGAAATAAAAACAAGAAATGAAAGACCCAGAACAAAACCTCGCGGTACACCTGTACCGTATAAAAACTAACTTACTAAAACACAAAATATAATCAAATTCTGTTTACAAATTACAAATGATTTAGTATTAAACCAAAATTTCTTAACATTACAAAAATCCAGATAAATCTAACTAACTATACAATTGATTGTTATTGGGAAATCAAAATTTCAGTTAAATCACTTAAATTATGATCATTACAAAAAAAATTACCGGATTTTCATTTAAATTTGGTAATTAAAAGATATTTGACTCAATTTATATTTCTTCTTTAGGAGAGAAATGCAATTTCAACAAATTTTCCAATCAGTGTCGCAGTAATTTGTCAAACTCTTTGAATGCTCTTTTCTCTTTTCTCCTCTCTCTTTCTCTCATTCACACACGCACTCTCACATTCCCTTCATCTTTATCTCTCCAAACAATGAAAAACGTATGAAATGAAAGACCCAGAACAAAACCTCGCGGTACACCTGTACCTAATAAGAACTAACTTACTA